CTGTGTACACTGTTTCCTGGAAAAAAAGAAAGAAAGAGAAGGGGAGAGAGAAGAAACATCAGGGTTGGAGAGATGACTCAGCAGTTAAGAGCACTGTTTTTCTTCCAGAGGACCCAGGTTCAATTCCTAGTACCTACAAGGTGGTTCACAATCAGTTCTGGGGATCTGATACCTCCTTCTTACAATGTTTGTGAGGACTAGGTATGCACATAGTACACATAAATCATACATGCAGGCAAAAACAATAGTACACATAAAATTAATAAATCTAAAAAATATGTGTGTGAATGTGTGTGTGTGTGTTTGTGTGTGTGTGTGTGTGTGTGTGTGTGTGATGTGTGTGTGTGTGTGTGTGTGTGTTTGATCATTTAGCCTGAGGTACTTCTGAGGGAGAGAGAAATAGGCAATGAGAATGGCTATGGGGTTCAGGTGAAGAGTCTGCCAGACACTGGATAGAAGGTAACCAGTCAGACAGGTTCATATACTAAACCAAATGGCTTAAATCAGTCCCACCAAGTCCGTGGCACTGAGTAAATATATAGAGGCCCCATGAAGACTCCCCAGGATGAGGAACCCAGACAGTTGATAGAACTGATGGAATCTTTTCCTACAGTATCAGACTTCGCTAGTTAATATCTTTAATTTTGCCAAATATGAATAGATTAGATATTGCTTGATAACTGTTTTGTTATATGTAATTTTAAAGTTAAAACCTTCTTTTTTGATTTGACAGAAAAGGAGAAGTGCTGTGGAATGTCTTTCTGTATGCTGTGAATATGTGTTGCTCCCATGAACTAATAAATAAAGCTGCATTGGCCTAGGGCAGGGCAGAATGGAGCTAGGCGGGAAAATCCAAGAGAGATAGTGAGAGAAGAAAGGAACGGGGGTGGGGGGAGAGACACCAACCCACCATCCAAGGAGCAACATGTAATGGAACACAGGCAAAGCCACAGAACACGGGGCAATACATAGAATAATAGTAATGGATTGAATTAAGTCATACGAGCTAGCTAGCAAAAAGTCTGAGCCACAGGCCATACAGTTTGTAATTAATATTAAGCCTCTGAGTGATTATTTTATAAGCAGCTGCAGGACCTCAGGGCTGAGTGGGACCAGAGACTCTTCTGGCTACAAATGTCTCTAACAATCTCAAACCTGTTTCAAAGTCCAAAGTCTCTTTGGAGACTCAAGGCAATCTCTTAACTGTAGCCCCCATAACATCAAAATAAAAAAGCAGATAACGTATTTCCAACATACATGGCACAGGATATACATTACCATTCCAAAAGGGAGGAAAGGGAGCATAGTGAGGAAATACTGGAGCAAAGCAAGACCAAAAACAAGCTGGACAAAGTCCAAACTGAATGTCAAAACTCTCTTCAGATCATCAACTCCTTTCAGCTTTATTGACTGCAACACACTTCTTTCTCCTGGACTGGTTCCACTCCCTTTTAGCAACTTTCCTTGGCAGGTATCCCATGGCTCTGGGGTCTCCAATATCTTGGAGTCTCCAAGTTAATCCAGGTTGCCCCTTCACAGATTCATACAATGGCTTGTATTCTTGTATCCTTGACTCTAAGGCCAGAACCACGTGGCCAAAGCTGCCAAGTTCTGTTGCTTGCTGGGGCTGGACCATGGCCTTCTTGTTCAAATATATTTTTACCAGCTTTCTGTTTTCAATGATTTCCTTCACTGCCTGAGTTTAGCTGTTCTAGAACTTGCTCTGCAGACCCAACTGGCCTTAAACTCAGAGATCTGCCAGCCTCTGCCATCCAAGTGCTGAGATTAAAGGTGTGACCACCATGCCTGGCCCTAAGCTTTTTTAGACAAGGGCAGAAAGCAGATACATTCATCACCAAAATATCACAAGAACTATCTCTAGGCCATATATTAATATTCTTCTCCTCTGAAACATCTTAAACTGGGCCCCCAATTCAAACCACCCTTTCCATCACTGTCTTCCATACTCCTACTTAGTATGGCCCATTAAGGCCTGCTTACGGTGTCCAATTGCTTTACTAGTCCAAAGTCCAAAAGTGTTTCATATTCTTCTGAACAAAAGCATGATCTGGCCTATCAACAGCAGTACCCTACACTTTTGTACCAACTTCAATCTTAGGGTTTCTATTGCTGTGAAGAGACACTGTAGCCACTGTAACGCTTATAAAAGAAAGCATTTAATTGGGGCTGTCTTACAGTTTAGTCCATTATCATCATGGCAGGAAGCATGGTGGCATTCAGGCAGACATGGTGCTGGAGAGGTAGCTGAGAGTTCTACATCTATATCAGTAGGCAGCAGGAAGAGACAGTGAGTCACTAGGCCTGGCTTTGGCCACTCCCTATGAGTCTGTGAGGGCAATTTTCATTCAAACCACCACAGAGGGGTAGTCATGTCACAAACAGTGATTTGCAGAACTGGAGTAAAGACAACCAGGTACAATGGTATGTCTACCTAACATACAACCATCCTGGGGCCTGGTTAATTGAAAGAAAGAATGGACTGTTAAAACAACAGTTGATAAAATGGACATAGTATCAAGCTGCCCTCTAAATCTGTTTCTCTTTCATCATGGATAGTGCAGTTTTCAGACCTCATTAGATAAGTTTCTCAGTGCAGTGGATGGCAGTTAATACAGAAACTCACAGTGGGTTAAAGTTCAGAGAATAAGTGTGTTTGGTGTGCTCAGTCACAAATGGGACAAGTGTATCATGCCCATCACTGAAGGAGGAGCAGAAAGACTCACAGAAGCCAGGACTGAACATAACAGGACCACTGTAGTCCTGAACTCACAGCAGCTGTGGTTATATGCACAAGATCCCAACAAGAACAAGCCAATCAACATTCCAGCATGGAGGGGAAGGGACTCAGAGTCCTCAACTCTAGCTGAGGCAGTATTGACAGTTGGTGATTTCTGGGGAAGGGAATGTCAGCTTTTTAAATGGTGGGGCCCCTGGTAGGTGAACTGCACCCCAGTGGATGTTCCCATATGTATGAGTGTATGAGCAGCACTGGCTGCAGCAAGTTAACAAAAAATGAAAGGACACGAGGAGGTCATCAAGAGGTAGAAAGTTGATTTAGGAGGAATGGGGGATGGATATCATAAAATACACTGAATGCAAGCATAAAATTCTCAAAGAATTAATTTAAAATACTATATAGATTTTAAAAGATAAACAGCTGAGGTGCTTAAGTACAGAGGGCACCCTGCACTAGTGGGAAAGGGCACTCCTAGAGGCCATAAGCGTGTTAAATGAAAATCCTAGTGCCTAAGATACGTTACTTTTTACAGGTTGCTGACCAAGTAGGCCCCGAGGGCCCACAAATCATAAATGCTATTGTCATTGCTGTTAGTTGCATGCCAGAACTAGATAGGAAGATCCTATTACTGAAGACACAACACACTTTGGTTGCAGGACATGGAGAAATCAAGCTGGGACTGAGCTACAAGCTCCCTCCTTACAGGCTTATAGTGCCAGAAGGTACTATTCAGGCTGCTGGGAGAGCATTGTCACCAATACTACTGCTTGGCTATGGATTCTATGTGCTACAGTACAAAAACAAAACAAAACAAACAAACAAACAAAAAACCTAGACATATGTCTGGTTGTGCTGTAATAGTACAACTATCCTAGGAACAATAAACAGTTTGGGGCCTCACATCTGTCATGTCTAGGGAGGTCATAGGCCCCAGTGGAGAAGCAACTGCTACTATTTTATTAAAAAGATGTGACGTGCCCATCACACGGTCATCTAAACCTTTGTGCTTATGCCCATAGGTCGCTGTTGCTTTCAGTGGAAATCTACCATCAAAGGAAACTTCCTTTTGCAATACATGGTGTATCTCCAGAGACTCATAACCACTATCCAAAGTCCTAAGTGACTGTTAATGTGGCATAGTGGCCCATGCTTAGTCATAGACTAAAGAGATGGAGTGTTGCATAGCTGTATATTGGATCCCTCAGAATTGAAACATTCCCTCAGGAGGGAGGCACATGAAACTCTGGTGGTAATCAAACTTCTACACATCTAAGAAAGCTGAAACTTGCAAGATTCATGTGGACCCCTCCTTACCATAACAGGAGAAGGAAACGATTGCTGGAGAGGAGAATCTGGGCAGGTGGGCTGCCTGGAGAAGATTCTCAAACATGTCAAGCTGCCTGTAAGCTGTGAAGAGAGGATCAGAGCAGCTCTGTACTGGTCACCAGTGTTGGGGTGGGCTTTTCAATGATGCAGCTGCTTTGGAGCCATCCCTGTTCCCGTAAGTAACCCCAGCAGACACTCATTAGTTAACCAAGTTGGACTTTGGTGCAATCATTAGTTTGGCCTGCTGTGGGTTCCCTGACTGGGGTGGAGTAGACATGCATGTGTCGGATCTCTCCAGGGAGAACCTTTCTCACAACGGAAGCCTAGATAAAGAATGGGGATTTCAGCTATTGGCATAGCTTAAACCTCTTGGTGGTGATTTCCATAGTTCACATCAAGCAACAGCAAGTATTTGGACTAGTTTTGTACGCCAAAATCAAAAGGCGCTGTTTCTTGTTTCATATAAGCCATGCTGAGAAGAGAAGCTACAAATCATTTTGTTCCAACACTGAACTCTCCCCTTCTCCCCTGCTTCTCTCCTGCTTGCAGCTGACTCCTCCTTCCTGCAGAGCTCCCAGGATCACAGGCTGATTAAAGAACACAAAGGTTTGGTGGGAGCCTGAACACAGGCTCCCTATGACTGGCTGGCTCTGGTTCTCTCTCTCTCTCTCTCTCTCTCTCTCTCTCCTCTCTCTCTCTCTCTCTCTCTCTCTCTCTTCTCTCTCTCTCTCTCTCTCTCTCTCTCTCTCTCCTCCTCTCTCTCCTCTCTCTCCTCTCTCTTCTCCTCTCTCTCTCTCTCTCTCTCTCTCCAGCTGAGCTGAAACCTACCTGACAACCTCTGCCTTTGAATCCAGCTCTGAAAACAGATGCATCATTTTATTGTTCTCCCAAGTGATATCGCATCAGGCTAGAGATGCACCCACAGCATCCAGGCATGGGGACTTTGCAATCTGCCTGAGGAGTTTCTGCTTTCTTGCCTGAAATTTGGCGGTGGAAGGAAGTTTTTCGTTGATTTGTTTACTTAAAATATTGAAAAGTTTCTTACGGATGCCTGAAATGGATCCCAGTTTTAAAAATAGGGGTGTGTGTCAGATCTTTCTGAGACACGTCTGACCATTTCCTGCTGGACCAACCCATGGAACATCCAGAGAAACTTGGCAGGAGAAATGACATCTGATTTGCAACTCTCACGCTCTGAAAAAAATCATCAGACTGGTTGAAGAGGGAAATTAAAATATTTAAGGACAATGTCTTTCCTCCTCAGCAACTTAACCAATGACTCTAACCTGTGGAAAGTAAGTCATAATTCTACGGACCTTGTGAATTCGACAGCAACTCTGACCCTTTCTCTTTTTGCCTGATCTGTTTAATGACTCTCGCAGCTCTGGTGGGCAGCATTTTCTCACTGTTTTCCCTGCTGACCATGCAACACAGAACTGTTGTGTCCATGCTTGTGGCTTCCTGGTCTGTGGATGATCTCTTGAGTGTCTTGTCAGTGGCCATCTTCATGTTTTTGCAGTGGCCCAAAGAGGCTTCCGGGCTACTTTCAGTCTCTGTGCACCACCTCTGCCTTACTGTATTTGTGCCAGGGCCTCTCCAGCAACTTGAAGGCGACTCTTATAGTCTTCTACAACTTTTATACGATGCACAGGACAGTGGCAAGTCAGTCGGCCCTCCTTGCGATCAGGACAGGTGCTTGGTGTGGCTTTGACTGTGTGGGCAGTCAGCCTGCTGCTGGCCGCGCTCCCGCTGTGTGGCTGGGGCTTCTTCCGTGCGCACGCCCTGGGGCTGCTTGACCGACTGCTCCAGTCCCTATGTGCTGCTCCTCTTCGCGGTGTACGCTTCCGCCTTTGGGCTCCTGGCTGTTCTCTCTGTCCCTCTCACTCACCAGCTGCTGTGTTCCGAGGAGCCGCCAAGACTCCACGCCAACTACCAGGAAATTTCCCGCGGCACCTCCACTCCTGGGACCCCTGCTGCTGGGGGAAGAGTGCTCTGTACGTCGCCAGAGGATGTTGCTATCCCTGCTCTGCGATGCGCTGGGGGATGCTCCCCGAGCTCCGACATGGTGTTTGGCCCAGGTCAGTCTGCTGCCTCGGGCTCTGGAGCCAGCAGGCGAGAGAATCCCGGGACTCCCCATGGCACCAGCAGCTTCCCTGTGAGCCTGGCACAGAAGCGCTTTGCTTTGATCCTAGCGCTGACAAAAGTCATCCTTTGGCTGCCCATGATGGTGAGTACATTTATCACGCGCGGGTGTGTGTTCTGAGCCCAGATGCCGGTTTAGGGAGTCACCCAAAGATGCGCGGATAAGTCCGCTTCCAAACACATCTGTTGGAGCTGAAGACACGCCTGGAGGAAAGCAGTTCACCTGGGAACTAGTTAGCCACCAATCCTTGGCTGCTAAGTATTTCTCAATCTGAGAAGGGTGGAGAGCCTTTTCGATCACAGGAGACTTGGTTTTCCTTGATCATGGTCAAAGATGTTCTCTCTTAAGGCAAAATCTGGGCGTATTCAGAAAGAGGGGGAGGAACTGAAAGGGTTTTTCTTTCAACCTTCTCTGGCCCAGTTTTATCCCTTGTTTCCTCCTGCCTGGTCAGGACACCGCCCACATCCAGCACCAAGAGGCAGAGAGGTGTGATCCAACGTTGTGGGGGGGGGGGGGGGGGGGGGCGGGGAGGGAGGGAGAAAGGAAGGAAGGAAATTAGCTTTTGTTCCCGGCGTCTTGGAGTAAGATGGGAGGAGAGGTGACAGCAGCGCTTGCTGTGACCAGCGCAGCACCAGGGTGGAGAACTGGAAACAAGAAGTAACAAGTCCTTTGGAGTTTCTAGTACAGGTCCTACCGGTTCCTGCCCCCTTCCCTGAGTAGTATCTCTAGGTTACAGATTGCCTGACTCCCGGGCTAGAGATTTCAAAGGGCAGCAGGTGTAGTCCGAGCATTCAGAAAGGAAACCACTAAACCCTGTCTGCACCGGTACCCAGAGGTGTGACCTGTCCATTCCCAGGATCCTGCCTCCAAAGCCCCGCAGTACAGCCCAGAAGCAGAGCTCCTATTGATCAAAAAAGGGGACTTGGATAGAGGTCATCAACAGAGTGAGGGCTGGGAGAAGGGCTTCGAAAGTGGAAAAGAGGAATGATTTAAGTCTGAAGTTCTTTGCCTTTCAGATCCACATGGTGGTAAAACACGTGGTGGGGTTTCAGAGCCTTCCGGTCGATATGCTCAGCTTTCTACTAACCCTGCTGGCCAGCATTGTAACCCCAGTGTTTGTCTTGTCCAAACGCTGGTCCTACTTGCCTTGTGGCTGCATCATCAACTGCCAGCCAGATGCCTACTCCGTTGCATTCGATGGGAAAAAGTGTAAGTCATCCACAGTGGCAGAGGGGGTACTCTATCTACACTCAAATACAGCAAAGTGGCCTATTGAGAAAGTTAGGAGGGCAGGAAGTGAGGATCCTAGGACAGATGTACATGGTAAATAATGAGAAGAAATGATAAAAATTTTCCCTTAGTGTTGGAGTAGGTTTTAAACAACCCTAAGAGGTATTTATTCATTCGTGACTTCTTTTAGGTAAGAAAAGGGGTTTGAGGCAGGCCCATTCAACTCAGTCCTTTGATGTCAACATAGATCTTTATGTTACCACCTTCCTCACTTTTAGCCTAGAGCAGAAAATCAATCCCTCTTCCTAAATCTACATATGAGGAGCAGCATTGCTGAGCAGCCTGTGTTTGAAAAGAGATAAACTCCCCAAAGAGCTTAAAACTCCCTCCCTGAGCTACAACCCATTCTTATTCAGTAGAACAGTAAGAAGGATGGTTTCATTATTTTGATGCCTATTTTCTCCTAAGATACTAGAAAATGTTTGTAGCATGTAAAACCTTGGCTGAAAATAGTCCCCCAGTAAATGTTTACATTGTTCCCCAGCTGTTAGAAACACCTAACATCCCTAACACCCATCAATGAGTAAAAATCCCCAAGCTTAAAAAGGGGTGGGGGTTTCTGGTTGCCCTTGTTTTGCACCTGAGAGTCTGCCCATGCTGTTCACTTTAAGAAGTTGTTTATGTTACTAGAAGAGAGGAGAAAGGGCAGTTGTTGCTGTATTCAGAGGTGGCAGGATTAGATAGAGTTGGCCTGACCATACCATCTGATTAAAAGAAAACAGTAGGATTCCCACTCCTCTCAATGAAAAGATGGCATGGGTGGAAAACAGGACAAGACCTAGAATGAGCTGTATCTTTTGATCTACTAAAAATGAAAGGACATTTTTGTCATTCTAGACGAAAGATATGCAGTAGACTGAATAAACCAAATGATTCATTAGTGTTTGATCAATTAACTTCTGCTAATTGTCCCTCACTGAATAAGCAAGTATATTTCCTTTAACTGAAAAGAAAGATTACATCAAAACAGTTCATTTCAGACTACTTTAGGGTTGTAAATATTAGAGAATATCAAAGTGTTTTTCTGCAGCCAATTGAATAACAAGGTTATCTTTATAAATATTAATTACTGACCAATTTCATGTATTGATTATATTTAAACTGTAGAAGATCTAGATATTTTCCAGTTAATGAATATGTTTCCATTGGTAAAAATATCTTTTTTTGTTTTATTGGTAATAGATGTCAAATTTATCTGTCTTTAAAATAACTATATATCATAATAATGATGTGTTTATAGAGATTAAAAACTAGAGTAATGACCACAGAAACAATGGTAATAAATTATATGCACAATTTACAAAGGTATATAACAGTAAGAAATTACTTACATGTCGGTTCTAACAGCTAACAAAGGTTATCACTGTGTTATTACATTAGTATATGATTCTGTCTTATAAAATTGAAGATTGTGAGGGAGGTAAGCTCATGCCAGCAGAGATGAAGTCTCTGTGAAGTGGGTTAGGCAAACATTAAAAAAAAAAAACTGGGAAGCACCCATATCAGAACCAACTAATGTCAAAGCAATATTACCAGCCTCTCTCATTCAAGAAACCATTGCATCATCCACACTACACATGCTGGAAGAGCCTAGGGCCAGGTTAGCAGAATCAATAGTCACATTAGTACCAAACTGGATATGAAAACAAGACTTTCAAGATCAAAATAATCACTTTCCCCTAAAAAATCTGTTACTTTTGTTAACATTTATTTTAACATATAGTACAGTATTTTATTAATTCTTTGAGAACTTCATACAATATATTTTTATCTTGTTTCCCTTCTCATCCCTCTAACTCCTCCTAGATCTACTCCCACCTTCATAACCTCCCTCAACTTAATGCCCTCTTTTTTTTTAATAACCCATTGAGTCCAAGTTGCAATACTCATATACTCGTGAGTGTAGAGCATCCACTGGATTATGGTTTATCTGTCAGAGACCATATCCTTAAAGAAAACTAACTCTCTCTCTCCTTGAGAAGCCATTGGCTTGAAACATCACTTCTGATCCATTTTAAATAGTTTAAAAAATAGTTTTAGTTAAATGCCAGAATCTTAAGATTGGGATATTTCCTATCAAATATGTGCATCTGGCTTGATCTTGAAAATTATAAATAGCTGGCAGTGCTGCTCCCCAGCAAGTGGCTAGAACTGAGGAGCCTGAATGAGATTCAGAGTGCTCCCATTACCTTATTGCACCAGATAATCGATTATTAACATTGCCTAACTGACTCCTATGGACATTCAACTTTTTCTCTTTTATTCATAATTTTAAAAAGACGTAAGTAATTAAGGAAACTAAAGGTGATATATTTTGACTTTGATGCTAACATTTCAGTCAACATAATTTTGATTAACTGTTTTTTCATGTGTGTGTGTGCGCATGTGCATGTTTTTTCTGTGTGCATATGAAGATGTAGGTGTGTAGGTCTGTGTATGAGCATGTAGAGGTCAGAGGTTGACTTCTGATGTCTTCTTTATTGCTCTTTATTTTACATTTTGAGACAAGGTCTCTCACTGGACTCAGAGATCACTGCTTTGACTAGACTGGGTAGCCAGGAAGCTCTACAGATTAAAAACTCCAGTGCTGGGATTTTAGACAAGCATCACTGGTACCCAGGTATCACATGGATCTGAACTCAGCTCCTAGTACTTAAGCAACAAATACTTTACCCTCAAAACCATTTCTCCAGCCCCTTGATTGTTTTTAACTCAAACACTGTCAACTGTTCAGTATTTTTGTAATCAATCACGTCCATCAGTTACCTCAGTCAGTGTTAAGGAAAGTCATTAAAAACAAAAATTCAGTAATTGCAAAACATTTTCATTGGTTTTAATTTATGTACAGACTCTGACCTAGAAATGTCATGCCATGCCTTTCTGCTTCCATTACTGCGTTTCTTTCACAAGTTTGAGCAACAGTAAAGTAATTCCACATGTAGGAAATCACTTGAATTCTGTAACCAGTTAATTTTAAATTCAAATCATTCTATAAGATAAGTAATCAAAGATAGCTTTTCCTATTGATCTCAGCTTTCTCTACAAAAGAGGATGAATAGCACTTCTATTATGTAGATCTACCATGAAACAATATGGTTGATCTACCACCTTGTAATGACTATGACAACCTTAATTTCTTTCTTAAATATGTATCTTTATTATTGTGTGTGTAATATCTAATTTATATGTGATTGCATGTCTGAGAGTATAGAGGTAAGAGAATAACTTTTAGGAGATAGTTCTCTCCTTCTACTGTGTGAGTGAGGGCGTGAACTCAGGTCATCAGACTTGAATGGCAAATATCTCTATCTACTAAGTGAGCCATTTCACTGGTCCCTGCTTTTCTTGTCACCTCAGACTTCCTTGTGTGCTCCTAACTTGGAAGCAGATGTTCCAATAGCACATTCTGATCATGCCTTTAAATATGTTACACATTTTTACTCTCTGTATCTCAGTTTCCATATACAGCTAACACTATACAGCAAAGTATTAATCATAAAATTGGTGTTTTATGACCACCCTTATTTTCTGAATTTGCCACTTTATATCTCTTTTGGAAAAGTAGAACCTGTCAATAATTATGTCATCCTTGTATTTCCTCAGCTTTCAGTCTTAAAGTAGCTTAAAAGTTATAATTTAACTTTACTGGACTATATTACTGGAAAAGTGAATTAGAACTATAAAAGTCACAGAATACAGAATACAGTAATCTGCTTCTACTTTTCAGTTTTTTGATATAAATTTTCTTATTTGTGTTCTGGCTCACACAAAAATGAATGATATTGATAAATTCTATTTTTCGGGAAGCAGAACTGAGCTGTAAATCTTTGGCTCTGGGAACATTTCAGTAATAGAATGAGCATCTGAACGCCACTGGAGTGTGTTGCAAAGTGAATCAAATTTTATGTATTATTCCCATAAAAAACTTTATAGCTTTTCATAATTTTTCCATCAAAGATAGCTAAAAGCCTAACTGTAAAGCACTGCGCTATCTAAGTAGGAAGTTTTCTTGAAATAAACCATGTTTTAAAAGATGAAAAACAAAACATCAAACTGCATTTGACTACTGCTTTGATATAACTTGATTCTTAACATATGAAAATTATCTATTATTGACCGACATTCATACACAAAAATTGTATCATTTTCTGCCATACTCTCTTCCAAGACTTTGAGCCATATCCACTAATTAATAGTATGATACTTGGAATACCTGCTCTTTTGACTGTTTAAATAATAAAATTTATACATCCTTGTTAAACTTAACTTGTAATTATTCAGATTTATGAATACTCTATAATGCATCCATTTACAGAATTATACATACATTCATTTTTCAAAACAAATGTATTCTGAGTTTATTTGTATGAGAAATGTACATGTTGCCAAATATAGTAACTCACACCTATAGCCCCAAAATTGAAACAGAAAGGTGGAGAGTTCAAGGCTAGCCTGTGCTACCTAAAAAATTCAACACTAGCCTTATCTCATAGTGACAATTGGAGAGAAAGGATTTATTTATTTATTTAAGTTTAAAAGCTACATGGCAAACCATGGTCTAATTTTTAAGGTGTACATTTGTAGTCATAAATGTCACAAGTAGTATAGATAAAAATGTTTGAAGTGGTTATGTCTTCAAAGTAGATCATAATATGAAGGCTATTTTGTCATCAATTTCTAGGGCAGTAGATAATATAGTGCTTTCCAAAGTAAAGAAATTTATAAAATTGGTGAACTAAGGATCTGGAGAGGTGGCTCAGTGGATAAGAGTACTGGCTATTCTTCCAGAGGACCTGGATTTGATTCCCAGCATGATGTATCACAACTGTCTGTAACTCCAATTCCAGGGGTCTGACACCTTTACACCGATGCCCATAAAATAAACTTAAATAAATTATTAAAAAATGATAAACTGAAAAAACTAAAACTGAATGTATTTGAGAGCTTTCTAATTTACAGTTAAGTTTCAGTGGTATGAAATTACCTTAAAGTCTAAGTCTTTTAGATTGCCTGCTTTTCAAGCCACTCACTGTGTAAGAGAAATTAGGCTCAGAGTAATAAGACAATTGAATTTTGTAAGACACGTGGCTTTGTGTACGTAACAATAAGTAACTGAAGGTATTTTAACTAAGAGTAATTCAGGTAAATGTAGTGTCTGTTCATGCTCACTATTTACACCCAATGCTGTTTAAATCTACTGGACTAACATTGGAATTTTGTTATTTTCATTCAGCAAAGAGGAAAGGCTTTGAATTCAATCTATCATTCCAACAAAGTTATGGAATCTATAAAATATCACATACAGATTACTATGAGGATGATGAAAATTCCATATCCTATCACAACCTGAAGAACTGTGAGTGTGAAGCTACAAAAGAGCCTGGGGGAGACAACCACAATGTCCTCCATGCCATAACAGTAGAAATCAGCACCACGCCACCGTTGGACAGCACCACACTGTCAGGCATCAACAAGTACACCAACACTGATACCCCCGAGGCCAAACAGGGTTTGAATGGAGAAAAGAGTGCTTTTTCAGTTAAAACAGAAAGCGATATTAACTATGGAGAAACCGCCACTTTTGAAGGTCCAGAAAGAAGACTGTCTCATGAGGAGAATCAGAAACCAGATCTTTCAGACTGGGAGTGGTGCAGGAGTAAGTCAGAACGAACCCCTCGCCAGGTAAGGTAACCTAAAAAAGAGCCATGTGAAAAGATGATGAGCTTATTCCTCCATTTAATCAAGCCCAATGGTGATTTCACTTGTCTCCATTGGTTTCCACAATATCTCATTTTTACTCCAAGGCCTTTGAAATACTCCATTTATTTCTTCATCTTAGCTTTGCATTTCCAGTCAAACTCTATATATTTTGGAGTCAGTAGACATACATGGAATCTTTGAGAAGTATAAGACATTTTATTTTAACCTCAAGTAATCTGGTTAAATTCCAACTGCACTCCAGAGCTCAAGCTCCTGAGTCCATTGGTTAAATAAGTTAACATGTGTATTTTAATTTTTCACACACACACACACACACACACACACACACACACACACACACGCACACGCATGCACACGCGCGCGCGCACACACACACACACACACACACACACACACACACACGTGACTTATTTCAGGATAATTCTTGTGAGCCATTCCAAGCCTTGCCAAATATCCCATTTCTTTAAGTATGAAAAGATGTGGTTTGATGATGATTTAAAAACTAAAAGAAATTGCATGTGAATATTCTCCCACTTTCGCCTGATTCCTGCCTTCTGTAGGTGATAAGGAGTGTTATTCTTGTTTCAGTGCTATGTTGTTATGAGCTCATTGTTTCCAAACCCTCATATTTGATAAAGTTACTCTTGTTTAGGAGGGCTATAAAGTTACTGGGGAGAAAGAGGCTTCTTTAGCATGATGTGATAGAAATCTTATCACTTGTCTTAATCTCTGGAATCAAAAGCTGAACTCCAGGAATGTTCTACTAGGAGTAATGCATTCATTGATTAAATGTATCACCACATAACACAAGTATGAATCTGCATTGTCATGTATGAATAATATATTTTCCTATTATCATTCTCATATCACTATTAAAAAAGTAGTAGACTATCAAAATGAGAATATAAAACATTGGGGGAAATATGCACATTGGTTTAGAATTTAGGTATCTCAGAAAAAGTTAAATATTTGCCACAAATTTAATAATGCAGATAAAAGTAGAGGTCACAGAAAAAAAACACTCCACATTTTAAGAACAGTAAGACTCACTGGCTAGCAGGGTACTTCTCAGTCATCATCAGTTTGTTTCTGAATCATATGAACCTTTGATTTTCTTGAACTTGAAAATCAGTAATTATCATGACGAAGTGTGTGTATGTGTGTGTGTGTGTGTGTGTGTGTGTGTGTGTGTGTGTGTGTGTTTGTGTAGAACATACCACTACCTCATGTGCTCTTCTGTTATTCTTCCTCCCAGCTTGACCCTTAAAGATAGTGTCTCCGTGCTATTTAGTTTTTATTGTGAAACTGACACTACCCAGAGTCTTCTGGAAAGAAGGAACATGAATGGAAGAATTTCCTGGATTATACTGGTTTGTGGCTGTGTGTGTAGGATCATTTTCTTGATTGAAAATTGATGTAGGAAAGCCCAGCCCACTTTGGGCAGTACCATCCATAGGCAGATGATCCCAGCTTATGTAAGAAAGTTAGCCAAACTTGAGCCAAAGAACAAGGATGTAAGCAATATTCCTCCATTGTTTTTGCTTTAACTCCTGCCTGAGTGCCTCCCCTGTCCTGTGATGAATGCTACCTGGAAGTGTAAGCCAAAGAGACCCTTTCCCTCCCAAGTTTTGGTCATGGTGGTTATCACAAGAGAAAAACATGCTAGGACAGTCCGTCATGGATCTTACTCATTCTTTTTTGTCATCTTATTTGATCACAAATGTGCCTTTCCAATACAATATGGTATTTATTTTTTGTAAGTCTAGCTAGGCTTTCTCAAGACAATATGACATTATACACAGTTTTCTGAGAGCTTATTTTCAGGGAACATAAAATTCGTTTTCTAAATTACTTTTTGTCAAAATATTAAGAATTATCTCAAATATCACAATTTACAGCCATTATTTACAAGGTTTTGTTGTAGGAATTTCAAGTGTCTAAGCACACCTAGAAAGAAAATGAAAGACCTAACCTATTTGCACATATGTTCCTGTTCATAGCCCCCTTTAAATAAAAAGTAAAATTATACATGGAAATGTGATCAATCTAGGGTAATATTGTCATAAACTTTAAAATACCAAGAACTATTCACGCTGTAGATTGATGTGTTGGTATGACCTTATACTCACAAAATTATTTATGATTTTCAAGATTAGTATTAGGTAAAATTATAAAATATTCATTTTTTAATTTTGTAAAGCATTTTAAATTTTTTATTCTAAATATCAACAAAATACAAGTGGAGCTGGATAACTTAATAGCTTACACAGTAATGTATTGAGTTTTAGAAGACAACACAGTTGCTATATGAGAACCTTACCTATTGAAACATTTAGACTTGATTCAGTTGACATCTAATGGTATTATATTAAATACTGTCTGTTTGCTGCTGAGAGTTTAGAGCAGTAGATTTGATTTAAAATATATTTCATGATCTCCAGGTTTCCCTTATGTCTTGTTTAATTTATTATTATGTTATTATTTATACTAGCAAGTGAATTTTCAGTATATTTTATTAGAACTTCAAAGCATAGTAGTTAAGATAGATTTAGTAGACTTAAATACAATTGAATGTAAACCATGAATTCAGGATATTTGTAAGACTGAAATTAGTGTTAAAATTGAGTTGAAAATTGCTTCATTTTGAACTTCTATGTAAATCTTCTGTGGTTCACTGTTCATGTGTTTGGAAAAGATAGTCAGAGATATCTGAATCATTCAGTTAGAAAGTTTAAATGTGATGACCATGGCATGACTTTGTTTCTGAACAAAATGATAGCCTGTCCAAACATAAAATTCCATCATTTATGAATTATGAAAAGTGAATGGAAAAATCATTTAGCAGATGTGTCATCTCCCTGAATATTAAGCTCATAAAAATTACCCATGATTCCACTTTTCTTTGTTCTGATTTTTTTATAGTTCTATACTTATTCATTTGTTCTTATAAATCAGAAACAATGATATCCTATAGATATGCCACATGTAATGTTTTCACCACAGAATCTGGAAGTATTTTCTTATGCTGGGAAAATACAAAAAGCACATTCTGAAACAATCCTGAAAGGATGGACAAAAAGGAAGGGTTACTTGTGTTTGAATTTACCACACAACCATGTAGCCTTAGGGGAATTAAAGCTGATAAGAACTTATTTTAATGTCACTTGAGAATCAGTCAAAAATCTATTCTTGTTTTGAGGAAGGTTGTAGCTTTCAAGGAAAAAAATATATTTTGTCATTTAGACACAGAACTCAGAATTGGCATGTGTGCCTATAATATTTCAATATTAGTTAAGTAATTTTCATAGACCATACAGAAGATGCTTTTTAAGTTTTGAAGGCCAGAGTGTCCATGTACAAGTGGGATCCTTCTAAGAGAGAAATTGAGATTGAGTAGGTTTAAAAGGGAGCCCGAGATATTGAGATGCTACTAGACTTCTATGTGGTTTCTCTGCAAATCATGGTCACGGTTCTGTCATACAAAATCTAACTCCCAAGTTGCTCAAATGTACAGTGAATAAAAAAGGAAGAGGAGGAGAGCTTTATCCAGGCATGGTAGAGTGCACATTTGGAATCCCAGCATTTGAAATACATAGGCAAGAAGATTGTCAGAAGTTTGTGGCCAGCCTGTTCTACTTAGTTTCCAGACCTGCCAGGGCCACATAGCAACCTCCTATAAGAAATAAAAAGATAAATTAAATGACTACAAATAATATTTTAAAAATTAGAATATGTAAGTACCACTGCTTGGGCTCTAATTACTGAAGAATGAATCTAATCTTAAAGATCAGGACAAAATTAATCCTTCCATTTAATGAATGATCTATTAATACTATAGGAAAATATCCTGATGCCATATTTTTCCTACTCCTAAAGAAGTACAACTGTTCACATTTTAAAATAAACTATTAAAAAGTTTTATGCCAGTGTTTGCTGTAACACTGTCAGTTTAATAACTCCAGAAGCTAAAACTCATCGAAGAATAACTATTGATATTTCTAACTAAAATTACAAGAGTAAAAAAAAATCCACTTATACCTCTATCTGGAGCCTCTACTGAGTCATCTCAGTACAGATGACTTCGGGGAGTTTATATATATATATATTTTTTAACTACTTTTATTCATTTGAAGTGGTTAGTTCATCACTCAGAGGTCAGAGACCTGAAAGTCTAATACACTAATAAAGACTGCTTTATTGTCATAAAAGAAATGTGGAATTATTACATATGACATAGAAAATAAGATAAGCAAAGAAAATGCACCACCCAGACTTAAGCAGTTCATATTTTGTCCTACAAACATTGAGCTTTTTACCTAGAATATAGTTTTACTTTTGACAAACATGCCACATATGCTATTATGGAATCTACCAGTCCTATTCACCAGAATAATATTCACCCCAAGTTTCTAGCTATTATGAATAAAGCAGCTATGAACATTGATGAGCCAGTTTCCTTGTGGTAGAATGGAACTGCCTTTGGGTATATGCCCAGGAATGGTATAGCTGAATCATGAGGTAGATTGATTCCCAATTTTCTGAGGAAACACCATATTGGTTTCTATAGTGGCTATACAAGTTTTCACTCCCACCAGCAATGGGAAAGTGTTCCCCTTGCTCCACATCCTCCCTAGCATGAGCTGTTACTTGTGTTTTTTATCTTAGCCTCTCTGACATGTATAAGATAAGATCTCAAAGAAGTTTTGATTTGCATCTCCTTGATGGGTAAGGATGTTAAACATTTCTTTAAGAGTTTCTTGGCTATTTGAGATTCATCTGTTGAGAATTCTGTTTAGATCTGAACCTGATTTTCAAAGATTGGGTTATTTGAATTGTTGACATCTGGTTTTTTGAGTTTCTTATATACATTTATTGACTTCTTTTCTTTTAAAAAAAGATTTATTTATTATTATTAATTAATTAATTAATTAATTTATGTATATGTGCTCTACTTGCATGTA